TATTTCTTCTGGGCAAACAGTGACCATTCTCCCTGAAAACAAGATAAAATATCTAGGGGTTTACATGGATACATATCTCAAATGAAGAGAAAACATAACTTTTCTATGCCAAAAATTAAGAATGAATAAACTTAAAATCTTGTATCAGAGCTTAGTAGAAAGTCATTTGAGATATGCCATCATTGTGTGGGGTTGTAATTCACAAACACATTTACAACCAGTTGAAGTTCTGCAAAAAAGATTCTTAAAAATAATGCTTAAAAGGTCCTACAGGTATCCTTCAAACTTATTGTTTGTTGAAGCAAATATTTTATTACAATATTAATATTAAATATCATTCAAATAAACAACTATTTAACTTACCAGATTATCCATATAGCACAAAAATACATCTCCATATTGTGCCTCGTACACAGAAATCAGTAGGAGAACGATCGTATTTGTATCTAGGTCCAAAATTATATAATGCCCTCCCAGTCAACATAAAATGTAATACCTTGTCCATATTTAAAAATAATTTATCAAAAATGAGACGTAATAAATAATATTCTTTCAAATACATAACTGATATTTATTTGCGTTTTGTATGATCAACGTCTCGATATCTTCTTAATTAAAGGTAGGTATTTAGATTGTGTTTGTCTCCTATATAAAATATTATCTAAAATATACAGTGAGCATCATAAGTCTTACCCCCCTATCTAACTCGTTACTGGAGTCTTGTTAGGAAAATCGCCGAGACACGTCGATTTTTGATTTCTACTATGTACATTTTTGTATGATTAGTTTACCCTTAGTTTCATCCCTTGCTGGAGGGGGGTAACCCTTTCGAAAAATTTAAATGGCATAGGGTGGTGAGTGATAGCTCATTTAAAAAGGGGGTTCTATTCTCTATTCAACCGTGCAAAAAATTTTGAAATTTGCTTCATTAATTCTCGACTAATTATTGTTTCAGAATTAAGGAAATTAACGTAGCGCACTCATCCTTAGAATTAAAATTCGGCCCTGCATGATATCGGTTTTGATTCTGAAGTAAGACTTTTTGTCATTAGATAAGGTTACTGTTAGTTAAGTTGCTTTCCTATTTGTGGTGTTTTGTTATTTTTAAACATTAATAAATCAACACGTAATGCAGCAAATTTTAAAATTTTTTACACGGTTGAATAGAGAATAAAACCCCCTTTCAAATGAGCTATCACTTTCCACCCCATGCCATTTAAATTTTTCTAAAGGGTTGCTCCCCTCCAGTAAGGGATGAAATTAAGGGTAAACTATTCATAGAAAAATGTATATTGTAGAAATAAAAAATCGACGTGTCTCGGCGATTTTCCTAACAAGACTCCAGTAACGAGTTAGTTAGGGGGGTAAGACTTATGATGCTCACTGTATACATATATATATATATATATATATATATATATATATATATATATATATATATATATATATATATATATATTTTATATAATGCATTAATTTTATTTTATATGTATATACCTATATTTGTTTATATTTATATTTGTTTTCAAAACAAGTGCCTCATTGGCACTTATTCAGTATTAATATTTATTTATTTGAAATTGTTACTTCTATTACTTTATAACTTGTATTATTCTTGAATAAATATTATTATTATTTTTATTATTATCATTTGCTTGCATTCTGAAAAGTAAGATTTTTATCAGCGCTTCTTCTTCGATTCTGTAAATTAGAAATTTTTGCAATACAATAAAACACCTTAGTTAAATCATAGAATATTTTGGCTAGAGCTTTGTTTAAATCAATTTTAGAGTAAGCAAGTTCAAAATAAGAATATATCGTAATGAAAAACAGACTGACGGAGGAGGCGATCCAGTCCTGTTAATTGATTTATACAACCAATATGCAGATGTGTAATTTTTTTGTATTTCCTCTAAACACTCCGTAATGTGCATGCGTTGTAGTGCCGCTAAACATCGCAGAGCTGTGCCATTTTTGATTTAGGTCGGCAGAATCGTGTAGCGTTCCACTGGTGGGGAGATCAGTGGTCGTGGATCGTGGGGCGTCTGCTTGGGACGCAGAGCTAAATATTTGTCAAATAATTCTATGGATTTTACATTTACTTCAAACGCTGTTGATCTTTGTATTAGTTATACCTATAAACAACCTTTGTATTTTGTCACTTACATTTAAATTCAAAAGTTCTTCATTACTTAAAGCCCAGCAATGTCAAACACAACACAAATCTAAAATAATTACTTCGTTCATATTGTTACGCAGGTTTTTGGTATCTCAATTTATTGTAACTCAACTTTAACAATAATTATACAACTGATAACTTTAACGTGTAAGGTCTATCATAAAACTGAACTCTGACGTCAGGTCGTCGACTTATATAGCTTGCCTCAACCTTCTAGAACCTTCTCGAACAATCTGGATTTCTCTTTGACAAGGAGTGACATTTCGAGACATTTCTGGACTCTTCTATCTTCTTCATTTACTCGTACCTTTACTTATGACGATCGCAGCACTTTGCAAGGTGCGAATTTGCATAAATTACCTGGATGATCAAGATTTCGTTCGGTACTTTTAGTAAAAATTATTTTTTCTTATGAAATAGTTTTAGATTTTTTTGAAATATGATTTCTTTCTTTTTGTTTACTAATGTCAACGTCATTTTTTGCTGAATGGGTTACTGTTGCCATCTAAAAGAAGAAAAATACTATTTCGATAAATACGCCACCCTATGAATTTGTAATATTGTAATGTTCGACTAATTTTTGTGACAGAACTTCTTAAGACGTGCCTAATGACTTCTTCTAAATTTCAGGCGGAGTGCACTGAATGTCTCCCATTATTTTTTATAAATAATTTACGGCAAAAATGTTAGTTTTGAAGTGACATACGATTTTTATTTATTGTCATTCAGTCATAGCTATGTTGATAAATATTTGCGGCTGGAAATTAGGTATTTCAAACAAATGAGACGAGGTGCTAAGGTTTGGTCTTCGAGCATAATAGTCTATCTACAATACGTGAAATCAAAAATAATGGATTAAATTTAAATATTTTATGTGGAACACAATAAAAATATTATTTTTAAAAAAATCGCTTATACATTTCCTATAATTTAGCAGGCTTGGCGACTACTATTTCATTGGTTCTAGGGAAGAAACAAAAACGGCACCACGGAAGCCTCACTCGTGGTGTAGTTGCTCAGGCCTAGTTGCGATTGAAGAGGAAAGTTATATTTAGAGGATGATCCCGGACTCTACAGAACTTTTTTTAAAAAGCCAAAAATGGCACAACAGAACCCGCAGTCCCTATAGGTCAATCTGATGTTCAGTCCTAAAAGTTCAAAGTAGCTCAACAAGCGTACTCATGGTTAGGAACAAAAAAAAACAAAAGTTTCACATTTCCAGAGGTAAGCTCCGATGATGATGTATACCGGGTGTTCAACTTAAAGCGTTACAGCTATATACCGCTTCTTATTAAAAAAAATGTTTCAGACGAAAGTTTTATAGTTTTGTGGGGAAAAACTTTTGGCTAAAATCGTTTTTTATAGCTAACCACAATATGGCCAACTTTTTTTTCGCGCAGCAACATTTTCAAGTAGCTGTTACTCAAAAAGTAAAAGTCCAATAAAAAAAATATCTCCCTCAAAAGTTTCTTATTTTTTAATGTACTTTAAGAATATGTAAGAAAAAAATGGGATTCCCATTTAAAAAAACAAAGTCTACCTCGATATGGCCATATTATGGTCAGCTACAAAAAAATGAATTTAGCCAAAATGTTTCCCCCAAAAAACTATAAAACTTTTGTCTGAAACTTTTTTTTTCTAAAATGCATATTTCAGCGGTATTTGACTGTAACACTTTAATTTGAACACCCGGTATATAGACCGAATCCTCCCTCAGAGCTGGCCGAATCTGCTTCCGGTGATGGAGGATTCGACCAAATTGTTGACATTTTTATATTTATTGCGCAAAATCCTGGAAATACGTTTAAATTACTATTTTGGCTTTAAATAGTTTTAGAAATGTCTAAAAATTATGTAGCGATGCAAACTCTTAATATTTAACAAGAAATGTGGGTTTTATGAGTTGATTTCTACAAACTGGCCGAATCATTCACCCGCTCACCTATGTAAATTTTGGAGAAGCATCATTTAAATATAGTTCTGAAGGAAACTATTTAACTTTAAAATACGAATTTGCTGTAGTGTAAATAAAGTTTGTCGTTCACAGGTATAAAATAGAGCGCAATTGCGTTTAAAAATAAAATATGTAGGCATACGAAGTCGCGGTTGTATAGCCATAACCACCTGCTTTTATTCACTCATTCTCCCTTAACATTCTCCAGAACGATAGGCAACATACATTACAACCTGTCCATACGTTACTTATCCGAAGAGAAGAAGACACCAACGATTCACAAGAAACGTTACTTTATCAGACAAGGAAAGCAAACAAAGAACATGAATCTTGACCATAACAGCAAATTCTCGTTAGGCAGCGTTGCCAATATATGAGATAATTTTGGAGTATGGGGTTTTTCAATAAAACATTTTATAAATTATTTAATTTAATACGTTTAATAGAATATTTTACTTAAAAAAATAATAATAAATTTTGTATTGAAAATTAGGTATTGGAAAAATGAAATAAAATTATTATACCAACAATATTTATTATTTTTAATATAAATAAACAGGTCGGTTATTTTTTTCGGTCAATTATTTTTAAAGTATAATGAATTTTAGATTTTTCATTCACTTACTTTTTTAATCTATTATTTCATTCTAATTACAACAGATTTATGTTTTGTTAATAAATACAAACTATTTGCATTAGGATTTTTTAAATTCTTTTAAATTAATCTTGAATACCTACGCGTATACAAATTAATCAAATGGGCTGAATAGCAAATTATTGGACCTTTATTTTGGTATTTTTTTCAGGAAATTATCAATTTTAATTCGACAACACCGCATATCTGGGTTCTTTTTAAATTTTCAAGCTATTTATTTAACCATGAAACCGTTTAATGGTACCTAGGTACCTAGTGCTTTTCCGTTTTGAATATATTTTTATTATTTACTGTGTTTGTGTGTTAATTCATAAATTAAACTCATCTGTTTTAAAATGTTCAAACGAATTTCGGTTTGCGGTTTTCATAGTTATAAGGGCTTTTAAAGTTGAAGGTACCTGTTTTGTAAGGTACCTGTCGTTTCCGATGGTGCACCTGTTCTGAAGTGATTTAATTGATTTGTTATTATTAGTTATTGAAAATGGATTATTTAGGATGGACCAAAATTGAAAGTGAAAATGGTTTTTCGTATTATTTCAAGTAAGTAAATAAAATATTTGGTAATTACTTATACACTTATGAAGGTACCTATTGATATAAGTACTTATCTTTATATTAATTAAAAATGTTTAAATTTTATTAAAGAGCTTTAAATAAATGTTTCGGCTGTTCGAAACTTGCGTTTAGCTTGTGCTTGTAGTTTTTGTAAAAAAAAATGTAAACAAATATCCATTAATAAGTATCTATTTGGTAATGACTATTCAACCAAATTACGGGAATTATAATAAATATATCCATTATTTTTTTCTTTTTAGTTAGTTGTGTATAAAGATACAGTAGTTAGATAAACCAAATATAATACCCGATTAATTATTACGTAATTTTTATATTTATTATCTTTTAGATACAAGGACTGAATAATAATTATTAATATTACCCAATAGTTTTTGACCAATAACAAAAAATAAGTTTCATTATTCACAAGTCATAAAATCACTCAATTAGATTTTGAAAATGTATATTTGAAAAAATGCTAAATCAGACTGAGAAAAGTATTTATTTTTTTATAACTTTCTATTTTTATTTATGTAGGTACCTACCCATAGTGCACAAACACAATTCGGAAATAAATTCAAAAATGATATATTGAAACATTTGTATTGTAATGTATAAATATTACGAAACATTTCTGAAATGTGCCTGAAACATAAAAATGTCCTGAAAATGTAATATTTCAGAAATGTATTCTAGTTTTTTTTCAATATTGTGACGATAGTCTAATTTATTTATAGTTTATATATTTAAAACACACTATTTACAATTTACTTATGACGTACTAATTAATTTATATAATGCTTAGACCACTAACTCACAATTCTAATTTATTTATTACAATTTATTTCAGTCCAATGCTTTATGCTAAACTAAACTGTCCGCCGATTAGTTGGGCTATTTATACCAAGTTCAACTCTGCTACGAGAAGTCTCTAGACGCTCCCGAAAATTCCATCTCTGACTTAACGGCACGCATTGCCCGTTTATTCGAGACGCGGTCCGACTGACCCGACTGTCTCCACACGTCAGCGGTGCTTCGATCATGAATCGAGTGGCAAGCTGAAGGTCGCTTGCTTTAGACAGGGTCGGCTTAGGAATTTCCATGACAATATTATTAGACTAAAAAAAAGACATTTAAAAATATACATGTTTATTTAAAATACACAAAACTCAAACATTAATTCTTGAACAAAAAAGAAATAAATAAATTTTTAACGTTATTTCAGAAAATATAAAAGCGAATCGCTTATATTTCACAAATTCCTTTAAATGCACTAATCTGAAACAAATAGATTTTTTTTAATAAACGTCGCAAGTAAAGAAACATTTACGATTATTACGATCTGATTAAAATCAATTAGCAATTTTATTCTAACCTAACTTACTAGGGATGAAAAACTTCATAAACTAAGATTCTACTCACTAGTGTCTAATTATTTAGTTACACTACCGTTAACGTATAACACTTAACTGTACTATACTCTGTTTTAATCTAACATCACTGAACTAATAACTAACTCAAAAGGCTTACGGGTGTGAAGTTATCCACATCCACAAATGTACACTGAGAAAAATACAGCTCCATTGTAATAGTCATATAACTTGGTTCAAATGACATGTAGAGGCTTTTCATTGCCAGATTTCAATTAGGAAGGTTTCAATACACAACAACAATACCCGCAATTAACTTTTGCTCCGTCTGAGGGGGTGCAATTGGGGGTGAAATTTAACAAAAAATCATAGAAGCCACAAATGGCTTTGTTAACCTTTCTGCTTAGGATATATTATGTAGTTTGCCCTTTTCTTCATCCCTGATACCATGCTGGCGTTTGTCGAGCCGTCTGAGGGGGTGCAATTGAGGATGAAATTTAAAAAAATCATAGAAGCCACAAATGGCGTTGTACATCTTTCTGCTTGGGATATGTTATGTAGTTTGCTCTTTTCATTATCCCTGACACCATGCTGTAGTTTTTCGAGCTGTCTGAGGGGTACAATTAAGGGTGAAATTTATAAAAAACATAGAAGCTACAAATGGCATTGTACACCTTCTGCTTGGGATGACTTTGATTTTAATATTTAAAAAATAAAAAAAAGAGCTTTGAAAAGGAAGTGTCTTGTGTCTTTCTACTTTTTAAAAGTATATAATTTTTTTTTATAATTTTATAGTTTTTTACTTTTTTTGATTTTCTTTTATGAAACTACCAATTTTTTTGTTTCATTTCTCAATTAAATATGTTTTAAGATTAACATTTAAATAGTAATTGTTAAGGTCCAAATTAATAGTCACAAAACAAATTCTGTTTATACCCCTCATTTTATTATTATTTAACAATATTTATTTTTGAAATTCCAAATCATTATGCTGTGGAAGAAGTATATTTTTGTATGTATTTTCTGTACCTACATTATAATGTACTTGTGTGATATTATTTTTTAATTCAGGAATAATTTTTTATTTTGTTTAAAAGAAAACACGTTTTTATTTTATATAAAAGAATATTTTGAGTATTTTTTTAATGTATTTTCTTTACCTAAATTATAATTTACTACTATCTATGATTTTTTTTTAAATTTTATCTCAATTGTACCCCCTCAGACGGCTCAACAAACTCCAGCATGGTATCAGGGATCAAGAAAAGAGCTAACTACATAACTTATCCCAAGCAGAAAGGTGTACAATGTCATTTGTGGCTTTTATGATTTTTTTAAATTTCACCCTTAATTGCACCCCCTCAGACAGCTCGACAAACTCCAGCATGATATCTGGGATAAAGAAAAGAGTAAACTACATAACATATCTCAAGCAGAAAGGTGTTCAAAGCCATTTGTGGCTTCTATGATATTTTTTTAAATTTTACCACCAATTACACCCTCTCAGACGGCTCGACAAACTCCAGCCTGGTATCAGGCAAACTACATAACATATCCCAAGCAGAAAGATGTACAAAGCCATTTGTGGCTTTTATGATTCTTTGTCCCCCCCCCCCCCCCCCCCCAATTGTACCCCTTCAGACGGTTCAAAAAACTCCAGCATGGTATCAGGGATGAAGAAAATAGCAAACTACATAACATATCCCAAACAGAAAGGTGTACAAAGCCATTTGTGCCTTCTACGATTTTTTTTTAATTTCCCCCCAATTGCACTTCTTCAGACGGCTCGACAAACTCCAGAATGGTATCAGGGATGAAGAAAATAGCAAACTACGTAACATATCACAAGCTGAAAGGTGTACAATACCATTTGTGGCTTCTATATTTTTTTAAATTTCACCCCCAATTGCACCCCCTCAGATGGAGCAAGAGTTAATTGTGGGTATGGTTGTTATGTATTGAAACCCCCCAATTGAAATCTGCAAATGAGAAGCCTCTACATGTCATTTGAACCAAGTTATATGACTATTACAATGGAGCTGTATTTTTCTCACTGTACATTTGTGGACGTGGATAACTTCACACCCGTAAAGGCTTGGTTCTTTTGAGTCTTCTTATTAGATTGGCATTGTTGAGGAGCTGGATAATCTCAAGGTTTCCATGTTCGAGCCGTCGTTGTTGGTGACTACTGTCAAATTTTGGTATTGTATTTTCAACAGTCTCCACTTTAAGGTCCCTATGGGGATCAGTATTGTGGCAGTAGCAGGGTGCATGGACGATATTCCTTTATACTTTATTCTGGAAACGTTGAATACCTTGGATGTTACTTTTACTGGCACAGTCCCAAAGCTTACGAATTGCTTGATTTTCACCAATTCCTTAGAATGCACTAATCTGAAACAAATTAGGTTATTAAAAAGGATTTATACAAATTATTTGATTAACAATAGTTTTATTAATATTGTTTTAACTATAATAAAACGAACAATACTCATACCTAAACAAAATATGAAGCTCCGCTTTTTAATCAGCTGTAGAACCAATAAATAAAACTGGTGGAGGGACAGCAAATGTAGGTTATATTTAAATAAAAATAAGACTAAAACTGTCTGTAAATTTGATAAACGAAATGGCGTCACTCGTCTCAAAGAAGATATAAAGTAAATAAACCTAACCTAAACCTAAAGACATATTCTGCTTCCCATATAACAACAGCAAAACTCAAAAATAACAAAAAAAAAGTAAATGACAAAAACTGACAATCTCTGTATGGACATAGGATTAAATAAAATAACTACCTATCCTATCTTCTATTTAAAAATCAGAAATTCTTCATTAAGTGTTGGCCTTTTACAACATAACCCGTTTAGTAACCTTTTGTGTAACATGTATATCATGTTTCAGAAACATTTTCAATGAAATATTTGACTAAAATATTTCAGAAACTTGTGCTTGAAATGTTATATGTTGAAACGTTTGAAATATTTCTGAAACACTTCTGAAATAATGTGTGCTGTATATGCCGTTCACAATTATTTTAAATTGGGCTTGTTTAATTCGAACGGAAAATTAGCGTTTTTATTTTAATCATTATATATGGCTACAAAAATAATCTTATTGCTAATTTAAATAAATGATTTTTACCTTGTGATACCTCTTAAATAAAAGTTTATAAAGCAAGCATGGTAAAGTCATAAGCCCGCATAGCGACTTATGCTATATTTTTTGACTAAATTTTTGCTATTTACTAAATTTTCAATTTGTTTTTCTCGCCGTTACTGAAAAACATTGGCTGCCCTTGCTTCATACTTAAGTTAGCGTGGCAACTGATGTATCTTCGGTGCTATGAGAGATATCAGAATCGAGTTTGTAACATATTTTTTTGCTAATTTTTTACTTTAGAAATATTAATTTGTTTGCTCCTGTGGTTCGTAAGAAACATTGGCTATGCTAGCTTGACAGTTAAGCTAGAGTGACATGTGCTATATCTCTCTTTCTATGAGATATAATATCAGAAACGGGTTTGAGACATATTTTTGCTCTAAAAATATAATATCGAGTACCTATTGTGTCAGTTTTCCAGAGGATCCCCATTGTTTTGTTTCAACAAATTACGTAATTATTAAGTTTCTTTTAGTATCATGACCAGTACGATGCATATCAAAAATTAATTAATTAACTATAGTAACTAGTAACATAAGTAATGAACACAAATTATTGTTTTAAAAAGTGTTTATTAATTCTTCTATTGTTAAATTCTAAACTAATGATCATACATTTATACAATTGTATTTTGGTAAAGCAACAATATAATATTTGATTTTATTGAATATTGTTTAGCATAGATATGCATTTGAAAAATGTTCCATAAATTTATAGATTTAAAAATACCAAGCGGCAACGAGACGAGGGGGAGTCGGGGTAATTACTCTCTCCAGGAATACGGGTATCATTTTAGAGATATAGGCTCATCTCCGCCCGGCTCATTTCCGCCCGCAACCTTTTTCGGCTCATTTCCGCCCACGGTTATGGTCAACCAAAATGCCCGGCTCATTTCCGCCCAGATTTGCACCCCCTTACTAATTACGGCATTTTAAATTCGTAGGTACATATTTACATACATACACATTCGAGTAGTATATAGGTAATGCAAGTTTTTATACAGTGAGCACCCTAAATCTTACCCCCCTATCTAACTCATTACTGGAGTCTTGTTAGGAAAATTGCCGAGACAGGTCGATTTTTGATTTCTACGTACTTCTTTTTCCTTCTTTTGCCTTCCAAGTTTAAGTCTTTCCTATCGTAAATATAGTCCATATATTCTGTTTCCTTCTTTAAAATCTTAACTAGTTCAAAAATATTTTGATTTGGCTTCAAGAGTTGGTTTAATCTGTTGTTCCATCCTTCAAGAGCATTATTTGTTCTATGTCTGAGACCGTGACAGTTCCATATTTCCATCATTATGGTGTTATTTTTCAACCAGTGAGTTACGAAGTAATCATAAAACGCCGTCAATTTATCATTTTCTGGAACGTTTTCCATTATATATAACCATCCATCGTCAATGTAATTTAATGGCGTCGCCATCTGTTTTTAGTAAGCAAAATTAACAGATGGCGACACCATTTCACTACTTGAATTCTTATTCTCTTCATAACCAACTTTATGGTATACTGGTGAAATGTGTAGCATTTGTTAATTCCATTAGAGGCTGGAATTGAGAACCTATCTATTTCTTGTTGAGGAGTCCTAAAAAGGACGAAACCGGTCCAAGAATGTTCTCCTTGGTGAGCAAAATCAAAGTAGAGAGTTTTGAAAATTAATTCCTATCTCTGCTGTCTTTCCTTCGGGTGTAATTCAATGCCTGTTGCGGTATTAGCCAAAGGAGTAGTTGTTTTTCGAAGGGGAAACGGTCGTTGGTATTTTATGTGATATTGGCTTTGAGTTTAATTCATTGCATTTTACGTCTATCACATTTGAGTTTTGATTTATTTTCGTAGTCAATGGCTTTGAACTAGAGAATTTATCCAAGGTAAGTACGTTGACATTTTAAAAATTAAAACTATCCCCTAAATTTTCGGTTTAAATAGATTGTAGGGACTAATCATGAGTAGGAGACTCGAGTAAGGAATGCGGTCCGAAACTCTGGCCATTAAGCCTCACCAGTATTTAGGAGGGGTCTTCGAGACCCTAGGCCTCGAAGCACCTTAAGGTGTAAAGTAAAGGTTTTGTGCAGATTTGTGTGCTAGATGTAAATATCTTTAAATTATTTTAACATGTTGTTTGGGTTTTGTTTTGAGACAATAATTAATTTATTGATTTCCATATAAATGGCAATTTTTCCATTTTCGTTCCTAGTTTTATTTATCTTATATTTATCAATATTCATTTATTTCAATATTTATTACTTAAATATAAATCAATTAATTCTTGAAGCTATTAGTCATTTTGTTCTTATTTTAAATATACAATATACATATGTTACTGTTTTAATACGTATTATTATTCCATCCTTCCCTTTCCAAAACCAGTTATTAAATGTTTCGAGCATTTGTGAAGCCTTGGCCTTTCTAGCCCTAAGACTCTTTAACTAGTTGTCAAAGCCGCTCGACCATACTATCAAAGGATAATTTTTTTTATATTTCTTTTTATTATTTTTTTGCCACTGGTGAATGGATGTTCCTTCAGGACTCCAGGACCCTTTGGCTGGTGACAGTTGCTGCCTTAATCACTTAATAATATATTGACAATAGTAGCTAAAGACCTAGCAGTTGTTACAGATGGGTCTTTAGACTAGCTAGTTGTTATATTTGGTGACAAGCAGTGGTCCTTCAGCCAACTGATTTTTACAATACAACACTGAGGTATGTTCACTTATTAATATCAAAATTTAGTTAACTATTAAAATGGTCCCTATACATTCCTTCTCCAATAGTTTTTTATTGTGTTCTTTTAGATTAAATTTTATTTTATTTTTTAAAGATTATCAAAGTATAAAAATACCTATTGTTTTCTGACTGTAATTTAAAGTCTTCTTTTTGTTGCCTTAAAATATCCTAGGCATTTTTTATATTATAGTTTTTTTGTTAAAACATTTTTTATTGTTTTCAGTTCTTAATACAATTTTTTTTAATTACCCTCCTTGGGATAAACGTATTGGCATCTTTGATAATACTATGTCTAAGATATATTATGAGTAGGTACCTACATAATAAAACACATTTATTTAAAATGAATAAATTGAACAAATTTTGAAAACACGTGTCTTATTTTTAGCAAAACGACTGGTATCAAGCAATGGGATCATCCAAGATTTAGAGAAATTGGACAACGTCTAGATGACTGCAATTATGTCAAATACTCAATATATAGAGTGGCACTAAAATTTAGAACTCTTCAAAATGCATTATACAGTAATTAATTTAACAATATTAAAAAATATTTGTGAATTCATTAAATTATTTTTAGTTGATGACGTGCCATTACAAATTATATCCGGTGTTTTTGAAAAACACAGACTTGGTGCCAATGAAAGTTCTCTGTGCCTAGAAAGTTGTGAACTTGAAGCAGTTTTGTACGATATATACTTCGCTTCCAATAAGAAAAGTAATTCTAATATCGATGTTGACTTAGCTACTGAGCTTATGTTAAATTTCTTATATAACGTATTTGATCCGTAAGTAATTATTTAAAACATTCAAATGATCATTTTTGAAGCCAGTTTGTGAATATTGAATGTTTTTAGAGATAGGAAAGGAAAGATACAAGTCTTTTCAACGAAAGTTATTTTAGCCATTTTAAGCAATAGCGATGTAAAAGAAATGTATCGATATATATTCTTAGAATGTTCTGATCACAATAACTGCATTACACGACCACGACTGCACTGTTTTTTATCAAAAATAATTGAAGTTATGTCATATTTACACGAAGATTCGAGTTATGGACCAAAGTTACTTAAAATGGCTGTAGAAAATTGCTTCTTAAATGTAAGTAAATAAACTAGATATGGATTATATTTTGATATTCCATACCTTTACATCTGTAAAGGAATATAATTTTAGCTTTTAAGTAGGTATACTAAAGAGAATATTGTATTCTTTGATTTTAGTCTCCTGGTTTTGTGGGTATAAACGAGACTATGTTTATATCTTGGGTGGAACTAAATCCGAAAATTATAACTTGGATTTCTATACTCCACAGGATCCGAATTTCAGAATCCGGTAAGTTACTTATATACCTAAGCAAAAAATCGTAAATTTACACAGAATTCTTCTTGTCTCAATTTATTTCATTATCATAAGTATTGGTTGTATCTACAAATTTAAGGAGTAAAAGAACGTACCTATAATGCCATTCTAACCAGAAATTTTGGGGAAATGTCCGACGTTCCAACCAAAGGTAGGATCTATGGATCCGAAACCTAACATACAAATACACAAATCTAAGGGCCAAGTCAAATAAGTTCCCTTTCTGCAAACTGGATCGAAATCTGCTAGACTCATTCCGTTCATATCGCTGCTAACTCTTTTGTAGGGTCCTCGGATCAATTAATTTGTATGCCATGCCTTTTATGAGACATACTATCGTCATTTAGATAAGGCGTTGCTGCAAGACCTAAGATTTTACATCTACTTTTTATACATTATAAGTGATACTTATAACATTTGCGTTTACTCCACCGCAATTGTTACACATTACCTACAGTATTCTCCAATGATCAACAATAGTTAACCCTCATTTACTGCAGATCTCGAAACATCTAATTGAATCTGATGCCGTTGCTCTAGCCAACCATCTTTTCCCACATACTTATAATAGGTATACGGAGCAAGAGAGACGTCCGACCTGTTTAACATAGGGGCGGCCATTTTTATACAAGATTACTAGTACATAGGTGACCAGAAATACAGCAATATGAAAACTTGGTTGCAGATGTCTAGGTCTTTTCACTTTTAAATACATCATTTTGTACAGATTTTTTAAAAGAAATAATACAATATTATATCTGAATTAAATTTTTATTCTACAACAAAAAAAATATTTTAATGTTTAAAAATACATGTTAGGCTGATAAATAATAGGCCGACAAATAATAGATTAAATACCTAAATACTAATTTTAAATGACAAAAGTAGTAGAGGAGTTAAAAATATTAAAATTTCCAGGATACTTTAAAATTAAATTGATGGTTGCATATTTGTTTTATTTTAAACAATTTACTTTCTTCTTGTATAATTTCTAAAAGCTACAAATTTTTAGTGAACGGGTCGTCCTTATTGATTCTGCAATGAATTGTACTAACAACTTAAAATAAATTTTGTCCAATCTCTATATGGCAGATAACCACAATAAGGAACGATCTGCTTGTTTTGGAACCCTAAAATCATATAAAGACACTTCTTTCATATCCTTTATTTTTGCTAAATCTTATTACTTGTGGAATGTAACATTTGAATCTATTGGCAACAGTCTTCTTATGTTCTTGCAAGATCTTACAAGACATCTTGAATAAAGCCCAGTATAGAGAACTTATATACTGGGATTAAAGTCTATTCACAAATGTTAAAATAAATAAAACGTTTATATACTTAGAAAATAATATCCACAATCAAAATATTCTAAAATAACACAAAAAAATTTAACCAAATTCACAAACATATTAAAATTTGACACTTTTGACAGATAAAGATAAATTGGTTGCATAAGTTTCAGTTTGTTTATATAAAAATGGCGGTCATTTCTATCTTCTTTTATTAAACACTCAGTAAAGATGCGCAGAGGGTTTTACGCCGTATACCTATTTAAGTATGTGTCTTTTCCTAGGATAAAAGCCATCCAAAACATTAGTATGTATTGTAAATAAACTCAACCATATGTACAGTTATGTGTAATACTGGTTGCATAATGGTAGATTGAGAAATGCATAACCACCCCTACAATGGCTCAGGTGCAATAGCCAATTAGGTGTAATAATTTGAATATTGCGCGTAATCAGGTAAGAGGGGAACTTCCTTTTGTTAGTGAGAGCCAGAAGTTAGAATAAAAGGGTCAAATTGATTGCAATGTAATTGTTCCGGGTGAGTGGACGTCCATGTCCATGCCACTCATCTCTTCTAATTTAGTTTGGTTTCCTCAATTTACTGCCTCATCCAACTCTAACTGTTAAAAGTTATTGTTAAAATTGTTGTTAATTGTGATATACAACCAAAAGGTCGTTTATTGTGAAAATAAATACAGTTAAAAGTAAAGGTGAAATTTGATTTGACTAAAACGTCCTCCCCTGACGAGAGTGTTGGAGTTGATTGCAGAAATCAACAAGAAGGACCCAACACTATATATTTTTACTTGCTTTTTAGTTTTCTTTTCTACTTCCTGTCTTAATCTCTTATTCTCAAATCTCTTACTTTTCCTGCTTTACTTAATTTTACATGTATACTTTTTTTTAAATCTGCACATTTTTATATTTTAATGTTTCTTTTTTTTACTCTAATCTATTACCTAATTTTTTTATTTTCTTATATTCCATCAAAATTGTACAAATATTTTCTCAATTCCCTTTAATTTTTCTTTCATTTTTTTGTATTTTAAGAACGTTCCGAGCTACTTTGATTAATTACTCAAAAATTAAGAGCTAGATGTCGATATACCTTTGTAATTTGATTTTTTTTATACATTCTCTTTTACTGACACAGTATCTATCACTTGTCAAACAAAAGAGTTAATTACAACAAAAGTCTCAGAACAAATTCCAAGCTCAAAATTTTTGCATTAGAAATGAAACCGTATTGGATAAACGTATCTGGTTAAAAAATAATGTGCCATCACATTCATTTTTGTTTGTGTTTTGTTGTATTTTCTTGTTTGGCAAAAGTGACAAAATCAACTGTTAATATTACGAGAATGGGCCATGTTCACATGTGAGATATGCTGTTTTATAAACTATATTGTAATAGTTAGTCGCTATACAAGTTATTCTAAATAATCAGTTCGTTAAAAAAGCTAAAAGTTTTTAAATTAAGCCCAATTGAAATTTAAAATTTGAAATTATACGTCATCGGGAATAGACCAATCAGCTTGTGTCGAAGTTTTTTTTGTTTTACAAAACCAAGCCAACGAACAAACCTACATACAGAATGTCGAAGTGAAAGTGAACGCACATCTAAGTGACATTTAAAAATTGACAGCACCTAACAACTAACCTTAGTTTTTTGTTTTGGTTTAATTTTATTATTAATCTGAATTTATCTGGGTAAATTATCCTGTGGGATATAGGATATATAAAGGAAGAAGAATATGAATTTATCAGCTGTATTTATAAAAGTTGAATCAAGTATTTTTCCCATTGTAAACGAAAATATGATTACCGAGATGATTACTGCATTTTTTAACAATACTCAGTTTCCAAAAGATAGAAAGGTAAAACTTTATTTATAAATTGTTTTAATGGTAGGTAGTTACAGCTTATATGAAGCAGTACACTTTATAGTAAAACATATTTATCTCAGGTTTTATTTTTAGATCTGCCAAGCAAGAATATGGAGATATTTACTTTTTCCATAAGAGAGAAGGAGACAAATTACACCTAAACATAAAGTACAGCAAAAACCTTATGATGTGGCTGTTTTTTAGTGCACAATGCTTAGGATATGTTGAATCTCAAGGTTTGTAATATTTATTATGCTTTTTTGTTTTTATATCACATATAATAAACAGTGTATAAGGCCCTTTATTCTTATAAATATTTTTTTTCTAATTTTGACATAAAGAGACATTTTTTGTAATCGCAGCAAGTGTTAAAATAATCTAGAAATAGATTTTGTTAGTGAACCTAGTAATAATTATGATACCAAAGAATGCTGCAGAGCACCTTTATACCCTTTTCAAAAATTTTATGCTCCTCGTTTTATGCAAAACTTAAAATGCTCTGATAGCTTCGAACGAAGTCAGCAAAGCACCTCTGTTTTATAAAGTTTTTTCTGTAAAAACAGCAACACCATATATTTATGCACTTGAAATATTATATTTTTAAAAAATACATGGTGCTTGCTAACCTTCGAAAGAAGCCAGCAGAGCAATTCGGTTTTTTAAAGCTTTTTTCTAAAAACCACACCCCATTTTTAGACTCTTGAAATATTGTAAAACTTTACTAAAAAAATTGCTATTTTTAAATAATACAGGGTGCTTTGTTGGAACAAAGTCAGCAGGACACTTCAGTTTTTTAATATATAAAAACAACTACTTATGACACATGTTTAGGCTGTTTTAAAATCCTAAAAATGTGGTAAGTATATTTGTTTTCAGAAAAAAAACTTTGAAGTCAGCAAGGAATTGCGAATTTTTTTTAAAAATGTCAAATTTCGAATATTTTATAATATTGTAGGAGCCAAAAAATGTGGTGTGGTTTAAAAAAAAACTGGGGTGTTCTGCTGGATTCGTCTGCTGGATTCGTTTGAAGCATCCCGTAATTTTTTATTTTATAATACTCAATAGCCTAAAATGAGACATAGCTGTTTAAACAAAAATGGTACTTTTAAAAATAGCAGTTTTTTTCGAAAAGCTCTATAATATTTCAAAAATGTGAAAATGTGGTGAGCTTGTTTTTTTTAAGTTTTGAAAATCAGAGGTTCTTTACTGGATTCGTTCAGAGCTAGTAAAGTGCTCGTCTTGTTACATAAAATAAGGCATTTTGTAGCTGGTTGTATAGTTATTTTGTAACTGCATATCTAACCCTTTTATTTTTTTCAGGAGGTTGTAAACATGTGGCTTCATAGAAGAAGTGAGGAACCATCTGTAACATCTACTCAGTGTTATTGATAATGATGTACACTTGGCTAGATTGTTAAAGAAACCTCTTCATCCACTACAGGAAAATAAATCAGTACTTTTATATTCTTAGGATTTGTATATATTTTTTATTTGTAAATAAATTGTTTTTTTACTTCATTTTTCTCATTTTTTATTAAAAGGTTAAATAAAATTTTCACAGATTTTTATATTTTTGTTTGTAAACAATAATTGAAGTTTTTATTAAAAATCACCAATGTTAATAATAATAACTTAAGTCAATATTATTCTTTCTCCTTTTTTAAAGCCACTATTAATAAAGGTATTACTTAAGCTTGACCTATGATCAATTTTTAATTTTGTGATATATTTGGTTTGACAGAAAAAAAATTAAAACCCTTTGACATTGGTTGTTTTTACTTAGATTTTCATAAAA